CGGAATTTGCAGCATTCCTTAAGTTTCAAAAACTGCTTACGTTCTCGATGACGTCATCGGTCACGTCTCTTAAAGCTGGAAACACACGAAGAAACTTAAGCAGTAATTAAGACTGAAGAATGTCAACCATTCGGAATTTTCAGCATTGCTTAAGGGGTCATTCCACTTTAACGACCCGAAAACTATGCTTATCTTTAACAATTCTTTTCACAGTAAATACACCATACATTGAAATAAATCTTTTGGGGATTTATTAGGGCACTCTTAAAGAACACAAAAAAATGTTTGTCATAATTTAAACGATTTTCTAATTAAGCGTTTTTTACACCGTTCGAATGGCGTGACAAAAAAGATGCAGTCGACGACTTTTATCATTCAGGCTTACCTGAAACAAGAATCGAAGAGATTCTTAAAATATATGAGCGTCGCTATGTCCAGAACTTCAATTAAGAATTTTTATTGAAAAATAACAAAATGTTACCAGTTCGAAAAAAGTTTAAAAAAATACTTTTCAAAACTCTTTTCAAACTGGTACCATTTTGTTATTTTTCAATAAAAATTCTTAATTGAGGTTCTGGACATAGCGACACTCATATTTTAAGAATCTTATTGATTCTTGTTTCAGGTAAGCCTGAATGATAAAAGTCGTCGACGCAGCGGACTGCATCTTTTTCGTCACGCCATTCGAACGGTGTAGAAAACGCTTAATTAAAAAATTGTTTAAATTATGACAAAAATCTTTCTGCGTTATTTAAGAGTGTCCTAACATATCCCCAAAAAGATTTATTTCATTGTATGGTGTATTTGCCGTAAAAAAAATCGTTAAAGATAAGCATAGCTTTTGGGCCGTTAAAGTGGAGCGATCCCTTAAGTTCAAAATGGCTGCTTACGTTCTCGACAGCCATTACTGCTTAAGTTTTTTCGTGTGTTTGGGCCTTCAATGTGATCGCTGTTTGACAAAGCTTCCCCGCTACCGGAGTGCGGTTTTTTTTTTACAAATAAATGCAGACAGTACGTCGGATATAAGTACAGACCCTTTCTCTTTCCTCGTACAATACTTTTCGCGAACGCCGAAGGAATATATCCGCGCGCTTCTCGGAAATACGCAAATAAATGCACACGTACGTACATACGCGCGCGTTATTGCGCGCACGCCGCGAATACCGTATGAGGCCTGTTCTCCCGCCGATTTTGCGGCGTCCTATATTAAGCGCTTCCTACGCATTCACGTGGCAGCAATCTAGAAAAGTGACGCCCTTAAAAATGGATAACCTTTTTATCGCATATCGTAGGCGGCGGTTTTTCCTAGCAATACCGCGGGTGTTTTTCTAAAGATAAACCAAAGGTGCTCTCTCAATTTTTCCCCTTTCCCTCGCCCCCGACGTATCTTTTTACGATATCCATCCGAGTGCACTGCCGGGGGAGTCCGAAGCCGCGACCAAGCGGGCACGGACGGCGGCGCCGCATTCGGCGCTGCTGAATATCGCCTCCCGGTAACGATTTTTGTAAAAAATATTACCGCGTACATTGTAAATCTGTCGTCACGCCCGGCGAGAGATTAACGCATTATTTGCGTCCCGCTTGCGTACGTTGATTCATCGTCAAACGCAAGCAGCTGTACCGGCGTACAGGGTGCTTTAAAAGTTTCACAGATAGTAAAACGTGGCCCTTTAGGAACGTGAGAACAAATTTCATTTCAAAAGCTCGAAGAGTGAATCCATTTTTTTATTATTATTATATATATATTATGAAGGAAAGTCCAGGGGTTCAAACCCTGGCCGAGGTAATATTTTTCACAATAAATTATTAAAAATGCCCGATATGTTTAAGAAAACACTGATTTATTATAAATGATATGAAAACACGTTATTTATTATAAAAATTAGCATTATTATAAAATTATCATTCTTATTAATATATTTATTTTTGAACAACAGAAAGAGACATTTGCGCAGAGACATGCGCAGCTGCGTGCACGTCCAAAGAGTTTTAACAAGGGGGTAACCGCTAGCTAAAATGTCCCACCGACCACATGATTTCATTAGATTTCATACGAATTCATCTGATTGCAAGTAACTTCTTATATGCACGTTTAAAAATAGGCGACGTTGTTAAGAGCTGTTAGATTTCCTCAAAACATTATATCTTTTTGATTTTAAGTATTTGCTTGTAGAGGTAACTTCAATTAAGATTGTAGTATTCGGTTAGGTAGAAAACGTGTTTCCTCGCTTCCCACTTTTCCCACCAGTCTAACCGTGGTCTTAATGAGAAGTAATGTTGTATTTGTATTTACTGTTTATTACTCTAAATTTGTGCGCAAAGGTGTATCAACTCACTGTCCTAACAGCAACCACTTCAGTCTTATTATGAAACAAGTAATACGCGCTTATAAGCGCGCAGTGTGATGTATATTTGGATATTCACTAAAAGAAGTAAATTTTGGGGGAAAATGAAAACAAGTTGAGAAAATGTTCAAATTTAATGCTCATTGTCTAACGAGTGAAGAAACATGAAAACGAAGGCAAAACGATTACATGGAGATTTCGTAAGGATTTCGTAATGATTTCACAATGATTTCGGAGACACTGTCCCATGATTACATCAAGTGGTTACCCCCTTGAGTTTTAAAGACACCCGGGGAATCGTGAAAGAGAGGGTAACGGAAATTACTCTCCCAGAGATCGCGGGAAGGAACTGTACCCATAAGTTCCCATAACCGGCTCTCACCGCCGCGCCACGTACATTTGCGTCACCGTGTATAGACACGTATTAGTCGCGAGTCCATCAAGACGGCGAGGACACGACCGCGGTCACTCGGATTTCGCTGTTACTTTGCTACCTCGCAGTTTCGCCACGAAAGTTTTCGCCGTTCGGCGAGCACACGGGCTCGGATTTCCCCGTTCATCAATCGATCGGCTTGACTCATCGCGCGGAATATAAGCGCGCGCGATGCATACCTACGTGTATATACCGGCTCGTACACGGACGCGCGTATACACGGATTATGGAAGCGGGAAGGGGGGGGGGGGAAGGGCGCTATACAGGGTGACGCAAAGTTTCGCTGCTCTTACCCGAGGCCGAGTCACCCCGTGACGCTAACTGATGAATTACCCCGAACACATTTTCCCAACCGGAGTTCCACGGAGCGGCGCTTATTATTTCGCTGAAACGGATTACCGCGATTTCCATTTGCGTCCCGCACGCCCGCTTTATACAACGTCGAGCAAAATGTACGGATAAATATATCGTTGCGCGTCCCGCGTTCTGCATCCCGCACGAGTTCTGCTTTTTATTTTATTAAAAGTTTATCCCGCGAGAGTTAATTCTCTAAAAGCACATTAGTAATTAAGGTCCCAACGAGTGCGTGAACGTGATACTGTTGTTAATCTCTTCGGTTAACGTTTTCACGCTCGGTACTTTGATCGAGATTGGCGAACGCAGAAAGGAGGGCGGCGGGGGGGGGGGGGGCGTAGGTCCACCTGCAACCCCGCGCTAATTGCAAGACGCTTTTTCTTTACGGTTCGCCAGGCGATCGGCGCGCGGTTGTTCCACTTATTTGCACCACTTTGTTAGGATCCGACGGGTCTAACTTAAAACGTAACTGTACCTCGTGGTACCGTAGATCGTTCATAATGCCGACCAGCATTTCTGACAGTCAGCACTATAATTAGAGCACGTCGCGCACGCGGGTAAATGACGGCGAGAACGAGAGAGAGAGAGAGAGAGAGAGAGAGAGAGAGAGAGAGAGGGGGGGGGGATATGGGATGTGTACCGATATGATAGATCGAGGAAGAGAGGGAGACCCCGGGAGGGTAGAATTGAAATCGCGTCGCGTTTCCGGGACACCGCGGGATTGCGATCGATCGGATGTTTTTGCACGCCCGGTATTATTCGGGCGGCACCTCCGACTATGAGTCACACATTGTGCAATATACCGCGTATCGGAGCGCGATCAGATGGAATTACCGTGTGTCGATGGCGAACGGGGAAAATGGTACCGCCGCCATTAAGGGAACCTCGCGGCGTCGAGTCGCTGAGCCGCGTCTAATTTAGAATTCGCATTCCTTTTTTTTTCTTTCTTTTTTTGATTCGACTCGTGAAATTGATGGACGCCGAAAATCAGGCGCTGGAAGGCGATAACGTTTCGGGCGACGCGCTCGATTCTTTGTAGGTCATCTCGCGCGATACACGGACCTCATTTTCGCGTACGAGGCAATCGTGTTCAACGTGAAACGTGGCAGCGCTCTGCGCGCCTCGCGCCGAGATTTACGGTTTTCCACGATACGCTGAGGAGCCGCGAGGTTCTTAAAATAGTCCCGAAACTGACAGGTCGTTTCGAAATGTAAATCGTTAATGTATCCGCGCGATAAGAGCGCGGCTAACAGCTTAGAAACGAAAATGAGCGGCGAGAATTCTCAGCTACGACGCCGACGTGGCACGCGGGAGAGGATAAAAAACCGTTCTCGAGGTTTAACTCGACGGTTTAACCGGCGAGTGGAAATTGTTTGCTCCTCGCGTCGGGTCGTATTTGTTGAAAAAAAAACGGGGAAACGTTCCGAGCCGTTCCGAGCTCGGTAGAAATATGATATCTGGCGACAGCTCTTTGAGAATCACTGGCCCAAACCGACGACGTGGACACACGTCGGCGGAGGAGCCTCTAAAATATTCATGGTCGTTGGCCTTACTTTTTGTGTTCTCCGCGGTATTTCTCTCCGCCGTGACGACTCGCACACCTTTTGCGCCGAGGTGTCTTTCAAAAGTCCGGAGAAACAGTGTCCGCTACTCGAATATTTAACGTACCGGTGTGTCGTTTTAATTTCCCCCGCGACGCGAGAGATCGTTTAAGCGCTTACGTTATTCTCTCGACGATCAACAGTTTTCACCTGCGAAAGCGATGCTGGAGTAACAGGCGAATAATGACGAGCAAACGTTGACGGCGCAAAAGAAATGAACGGAGCAGCGCGATCAACGAACCGATTAACGTTACTTTCTGATCGCAGGGAATGTGTGACATGTTCATCCAAACACAGCAGACGAGTAGCGTCAACGGCAGCAGCAGCAGCAGCAGCAGCAGCAGCAGCAACAACACCGTTCACCACCACAGCAAGAAGCGCAAGTTGGACTACAACGTGAGTCAACCGGTGATCCAGCACGCATTGGTCCAATCGACCAGCGACTACCAATTGGACAATACCGGTCTGCAACAACGGTACTCCGTGAACGGTCCTAATCACGCGTTTCCCACGCTGCCCAACAATGTGCTGCAGAAGAGTAGCCCGAACCAGCAAACCGTGGTACGAGCCTCGACGATCAAGCTCGTAGACTCGTATACACGTGGTGGTGTCCCGAAGGTTGGTTCGCGTCGCTTCCTGCGCGTCCTGCGATTCCTTTTGCTCCTTGCGCTTTGCGTTCGTACGATCCACGGGTCCCCTTCGGGTGCCCTGCGTGTCCACGTGCTAATCTGGCCCGCCGAAATCTACCTTGCGTCCATCCTCTGCAAAAGATCGCGCGTACCCCTCTCAGAGAGAATTTTTCAAGGGGGTAACCACTTAATATAATCATGGGACAGTGTCTCCGAAATTATTATGAAATCCTTACGAAATCTCCTTATAATCGTTTTGCCTTCATTTTTAACTTTCTTCACTTGTTAGACAATGAACATTAAATTTGAACATTTTTCACCTTGTTTCTATTTTCCCCCAAAATTTACTTCTTCTAGTGAATATCCAAATATATATCATAGTTGACGCCTATAAGCGCGTATTATTTTTTTCATAATAAGACTGAGGTAGTTGCTGTTGGGACAGTGAGTTGATACACCTTTGCGCGCAAATTTAGAACAATTAAACATTAGATACAAATACAAAATTACTTCTCATTAAGACCACGGTTAGACTGGTGGAAAAAGTGGGAGGCGAGGAAACACGTTTTCTACCTAACCGAATACTACAATCCTAATTGAAGTTACAAGCAAATACTTATTAGTAAAATCAAAAAGATATAATGTTTTGAGGAAATCTAACAGCTCTTAACAACATCGCCTATTTTTAAACGTGCATATAAGACAACTATTTGCAATTAGATGAAATTATTTGTAATCAGATAAAATCGTATGAAATCTAATGAAATCATGTAATCGGTGGGACAACATTTTAGCTAGTGGTTACCCCCTTGGAATTTTTGATAACAAGACAAAATTCTTGATATATTCAAACCCATCGTAATCTCATGCAGTAGAAAATAAAGTAATGGTAAGATTAAATTCCCATTCTCCTTTCTCAAACTAAATAAAATTGTTTTGGACTATATTGAGATAAGAATCACATGTTTAAATTTAAGCTCACATAGTCTTGCATTTAAATCTCTCGATGTGTTATTACGCATGCACCAACATCATTTTATTCTAGATTCAAAAATTTTCCATTTAAGATTAAAATATCCCTTTTTCAATAACGATTGTCGCTATATCGAAGTTATTTTACTATAAATCCAAGTGTGATTCGGAAGTCTTTTCTGTGCTTTTTAAAAGTCCCTCAGTGGATCATCACTGAAAATAGTGAATATTACTTGAGATGACCATAAATATAATAGTAGATCCTGAACTAGCCTTGGTGTGCACTCGGTGCGCACTAGAGCGAGCTGCCGAATTCGCTATTAGAATTCGCATTTCGAGTTCGATCGCTCCCCGCTCGATCTTTCCGGAGTCCAATCTTTTAATGGCTTTCACAATCGATTCCCTTCCCTTCTTCTCTCTTTCTCCCGACGTTGTATTCGTTATTAATATTTGCCTCGCTGAACGCGCGACTTTTGTATAGTTTCCCTTCGACTACGGCGCGGTCGAATAGTCACAATCCGCACTATGAGCAACCAATCCCCAACCTCTCAATGTCATTTGTTTGCTTCGGTTTCGGGTTTCTGCGGCGGCTTGTTTTCGTTTCGCCACTACCCGAGCCCTCCCAAGCCGTCTGCTGCTTCCGCACGCGTACGCGTGTTATTACGAGAACGGGAATAATTACGGTAACGTTCCGTCGCCAGTTTTCCGTGTTCTCCTCGCTGGAGAACGGGCAGGGAAAACTTTTCTCCGCGATTCCGTATGTGTCGCCGTCTTCGGCGCTCCGACAAACAAGGCCCTGCCTAGACTAGAGGAAATATCAGGAATAGGAATAAATATTACGGCTTGGTTTTACCAGCGTCGATTAATTTTCATCTTAGTTTAATTCATCATGGCCTGGTTTTTCATTTTTTGATTAACTGTTAACCAGAAGTTCGTCGACTCTCCATCTCTTTCTATGTTATTATCTGAGAAGAGACAGAGAGTCGACTAACCTCTGGTTAACAATTAACCAGAAAATGAAAAACCGGGCTTGTCTCTTTCTAAAGGAACAGTTGGAAAGAAGCAAAGGATGAATTAAACTAACAATATAAACTTGAAGCGACATTGGTGGAGCCGAGCCTCAGAACAGCAGAGCTCTGACTATTTGAATTAATGACCGACCACCTCGGATAATCAAACACTCGGATAAAGAAAAAACAAAAAGACGTTCGAACATTACTTATGGTAAAAACAGTGTACTTGTTACGCAAAAGGGGAACAATGGACGTCGACGGCAAACCGACCAACTTCCAGCCGATTTAAAACTCCGATTTAAAAATACAGTAAATCCATTTTCACGACCTGTTTTGCGTAAAGATATTATTAAAACGTTTATATCGCTATTAAAATTGGTAATTAAAAAATTTGGGGTGTAACATTTTTAGGTTTTAAATTTTACTTTCGACAGTGAAAAACATTAATCTAAAAACTTGCCTCGGATAAGCCGGAACTCGGATAATCGGGATTCTACTGTACTAGAAGAGAGAAAAGAGAGATGAAACAATACAACATACAGTGAAAAGGAATAAAATGCGAGATACAAATGTAGAAATTGTGTCACGCGGTCATAATTCGGAATATTTCAGCTTATATGAATTTAAGCAATATGCATTTAACATTTATTTCCATTTCTAATATTTCCCCTATCGTGCACAGGTCCTAAAACTGAAGCCAACGGCACACGATACTACTTTTCTTACTAGATTTTTTACAAGACCCAATAAGGATGCAGAGTTTCAGATCACATGATTCTAAAATCCTGATTGATTCTCGTAAACAATTCAGTAGGAAAAATAGTAAATCGTGTGTCGTTGGCTTTAATGGCCGCTAAGGGCCTAATACGCGCGAAGGAACTCAAGCAGTGAAATCTAATATTTGAAAATTTCAACCAATTAGAATTTTCAGCGTTGCCTAAGTTTCAAAATGGCTGCTTAAGTTCTTTCACGTGTTTGCGCCTTAAACTGTAAGCACCCGAAAAAACTTAAGCAGTAAGACTCACTTAAAAATTTCAACCAATCGGAATTTCCAGCATTGCTCAAGTTTCAAAATGGCTGCTTATGTTTCCGGCAGTCATTTCCCTTAAGTCTTAAGTTTTTTTCGTGTTTGTTCGGGTCTTCAAACTGCTTATACGGCGCAGGCCGAGAGTCGGCTCGTTTTAGGCCGAGACCGCGTTCGGCGAACGGAGTCGTGATGCTTCTCGCTTCGCAACTGATGCCTCTTGCCGCAAGTCGGGCGAAAGGGAAAGGCTCGCGATCTACGGATTGTAGCGCGAAGATACTGTACCGTCCGTCTGCTCGTCCGTTGCATCTCGCCGATCTCTCGACAGTCGCGTCACGACGATCGTGTTCAATAGGATCGCCCGGCGATTAACTGATCCCGAGGACGGATCTTGGTTCCTGGTGCGCGTGGACGCGCGAGCTCTCGTGTCGACTCAAAACGCTTGAGAATCCGCGCCAATGTCTCGCCCGACGCGACATCGTCCTCGGTGCGTTCTCTCGTCTGTCCCCAGCAAAGGCTGCTGGCAGAGAATGACCCGTAAACGCTTAAGACCGTCTTAGTCGTAGACGTAAGGCAAGGCAGAGAAAAACGTAAGTCGTATATAGTCATCGGCAATGAATCGTTTCGCAAGAGGGGAAGTGACTTTTTCTCCACACTGGCCGATCGACGAATTATCAACGAGTGGGGAAACAACAATTCCTCTCCCGCGAAACGATTCATTGCCGGTTAGTATACAATAGCCTTTCACGACTTACGTCTACGACCGAGGTGTAAACCGCTGAGGGCACTGTGGCGTACAGATTTGCGGCATTACTGCACTGAGAAAAATAGCCGATTAAATACAATCGGGCAATCCGATTACATAATAACAAACGTACATATCCGATGAAAAATATGATATCGGTTTTTCGATCAAGTTTTATTGGATAAATTTCATCGGATATGTACATAATTTAATCGGAAAAATTAACCATCGGAATACCATTGTATTTAATTGGTTTATTCGATGGAAATTTTTCTCAGTGTGGACATTACTGGGCTTTTTTGGGGCATTATCAGTTTTGACACTAGGCCTTGCTGGGGCATTTTAAATATAAAATAAGA